AGATGCAAATTCACTAGCTAGACTCGCAGTGTTGGTGGTGGTGGTGGTGCTAGGTGCATTCTGAGTCTTTTGCAATTGAGCTTCAAAATTACTCATCCTGCTATGGAATGTCTCCATCAGCTGAGATAGTGTAAGCTGCGGTTGCTCCATTGTGCCTTATGAAGTAATGTCTTGTCTTAAGATGTCAAGTATTTGCAGGAGTAAAAGGATAATAACACTTCAGCGGGTGGTACTTAGCGTCAGTTACTATTAGCAATCATCAAAGGTGAACTATTGTATAAAAATAATTAAATATTTAATTTTAATCAAGAGGTGTTCAAAATTGTGACTTACTTAACTGACTACCCACGAAAAAAAAAAAAAAAATAATACTATAAATTATTCCTTGCAAAAATTGCTTAACAGCCGTATCGCAAACAAAATTCGCTAACCAAATGCGCCATCGAGCTGCTCACTACGTACGTGACATAGAAAATAGAAACTCAAAATGAATTAGGATTAGACTACATCACGTACATTATTTTAAGTAGCTGAATCTAGCTGAAAGCTCTCGTGTTAATCAAATTAGAGACCGCACCAGACAACCAAGTATGCAGAAAGGAAATTTCATTTTCTACATTGTACGAACAAGTATTTATACATATGTATGTCCGTAACCGAGCTCGCACGCCGATTTCTCCGAGGTCGATTCCCGATTGGATCAATAGGTAATTTTTTCTATGTCTCGGATTCGTGTATTAATTTAGATTGTCTTTGTTTTATGGCTCCGTAATGCCTACGAGTGCTTTAGCTATCTATTTTAGAATCCCACAGCTGCCTAATTACACATTTATCCTGCCCAGACCTAACGCAATAGACTGCTGTCTAAGATTTCAGTTATATTAAATTTTACGAATCGGAGGCGGTAAATCATAATATTTTAGCAGAGGCAAACTTTAATAAAAAAGAGATTTTAATTCGTATCCCCAAATTGTACTTTTCCTATTTGAAATTGAACAGAGTTCTAAATTTAGTTGCTACTCCCGAATTACTGAATATATTTATGGAGTTCTCACCCTAATCTTGGTCGACACCGACTCTTGACTGAACCATAAATAGAATTCCGAGAATCCTTTATAATGATAAACCAACAGAGAAATCTGTAGACATTTATGACACGCGACCATTCAATACTGAAATGTAACAATGAAACAATGTCAAAATGTTATTGGACCCAAAGATAAATAATAATAAGGATCAGACTAAGTAAACATAATTTTATGCTTTGTGGAACTATCTCATTTTGAGAAAGCAAAGATAGTTTCGTAAGCAGTTCAAGTGTAAACACCATTCGTGCACGAAATTATGCAAAATATCATTACTACAACTTTCGGAGTATGACTAACAAACATCCGTTACCCTTCCACAATGCGTACAAATTAATAATACATTCAATCTAGACATATGTTGATTTGTAACGGATAAATTTTATTTGTAACTAATGGACTGGAAATTTCTTTCTAATATAGCTCTGTGACGTAGTGATTAGCGATGCGGAAGTTAAGCAACTTTTTCAAAGGCCTGTCATAGTATGGGTGAGAAAAAAATCGCCACCGAGCTTCGGTAGGTACGTTAAGACGTTGGGCCCGGTTGTATAGCGTTATATCATATGGCATTCTGATGTGGGGTGTGGCTGCAGATATAGAGTCTGAATTTATTTTACAAGAACATCACTTAGAAATACATTCAAAGAAATTGGGATATTAATAGTAGCCTCCCAATTGTATACTTTGTGTTAGAAACAATATTAAAAATTATATTAAACATAGTCATGTATACAATTGTAATACTAGAAACAAAAAATACACCTGTTTTGCCGTCATGCAGGCTAAAGAAGCTTCTAACAGCATTTATGTGTCAAGGTATACACTACTATAACAAAATTCTTCTGGAAATTTTAAATTTACCATTGCCTAAAGGATATTATATAAACGGTAAAGGATATTATACTGTTAATGAATATTTAAACGACAAAACTGCTTGGTGTTAAATATGGCTTATTTTTATGTATATTAAATTATTTATAGGTGAGCTTGTTTGACTTCGATTCGATTTACGAAAATAGTGTTTTACTTTTATATTTTCTAATATTGTAATGGAAAATGACTTCATATTTTAATGGAGTCACTTTTCAATCTTGGTAGGAAATAAAACAGGGAGAAAAAAAAGCAGCCCTTGCCGATTTTCTTGCCGGTTCTTCTCGGTATAAGGTCTCCCGCCGTAGATTTAGGAACCGATAGCGTTGCTCTCGACTTTCACAAGTCCTTGTAACAGCCTAAACTGAATAAATAATTTTGTTTTGATTTGCACCTGCAGCCAGTAACACCTACCCAACCGCACTGAGACCTTGTAATAGGTCATGGTCTTCTCCCTATTCGATTCCATCCAAAAGAAATTCCTATACCTCGGCAGTGGAGGCACTAATGTGCCGATGATGATAGATATAAAGCTACATTATCAATAATATAGGCTATGTTTTATTTTGAAATATAAAAGTGACACGAATAACGCGTTGCAGCTTGTATATCATTATGTATACCCGTTATCATGACCCTTCATATCTGAATTCATGTTTGAATCTCACTAAACATAGGCACGATATAAAATCAATTAACTTTTTGCACCTCGCAAAAGACTAAACATTTTTTAACATCAACAAGATTTCTACATGAGCCCATAAATCAATACAAGCTCTTTAATTTTCCGATAAGATTGTTTGAGGGTCATGGTCGTAACACCCTCGAAATTTTTTGCCTTGAATAGGGAATAACGCTGTAAACTTCTCGGTAGTCTCGAGGGTGAATTACATAAAAAAGGTGTCACAGTATTTGTGAGCATTCAATGTTATTTCTCGACACCGAAAAGCTGGACAAATGTATAATGGAGTATCCCGAACAAAATGTAACCTGTGCGTTACATATTTTTCTTCCTTACAAACTTTCAACGCCTACTTCACCTTCTATGGTTTGAATTGCCATCTTTCTTTAGTGAGTATTTACTCTACAAAGTAACTTTCATATTCTAAATATTGAGTGGTCAAAAGTTTTTTCATATTACCTTCGATCGTGAGCACCTTAAAATTTAAGTTTAGCTGGCAACCAGCATAGCCCCAGCGATAACTATCAAGAACTGCAAATCTCCATACAAATTCTTTACGCACTCATTAGTGAACGCACACGATCGAAGGTGAATGTAAACGTAAAAAAACTAACACTAAGTCATGTATATCTATGGATCAAAGATTATAGGTCCAACTTCAATGGTTTACGCTCGGTGATGGTAAAACAGTTCTTTTATAAGGGCAACCGTGCATTATCTTCTAAACTAAACCTGTATGTAAAAATTATTTAAATTCAATTGCATAATTTGATGTTCATTAATACGTTTTAATAGTCAATAACTTTCACTGAAAATATGTAAAACCCAAACGAAAATTCAACTTTTAATACCTATACATTTTTAACTTCAACAAGAAGTTCGCATTATTCAGTACACAAGTCCAGTAATTCGATCAAAACTCGTACCACAAAAGCACCACTTTCTTTGGCCAACTGTTTAGTACTGTACACTTTAAAAACTCTTCTTATCTTTTCCCTAGATAAAAAAACTTCTGTGCAGCTGAGAATGAAATTATGCAAAATGTTTGCATTACTTTCGAGACGATATATGTAAATTGTTCCTTTAGGCTTTTCCCTCTGGTCATATTTAAATAAGCTAATGAGATGTGTCGCATAATTTAGCAAATAAATAATTTTATTTATTTTTTCACAGTATCTGTGTATTTTGTTCTATTGCCCCTTAAAAAAAATATTTTGTACAGGCAACAGAAATACATAATCTTTGTAAATAAAGGTCTAAATATTACGGCTCATGAGATACAGCCTGTTACGGACAGACGAACGGATAACAATCTTAATAATAGAGTTTTGGGTATTAAATCCTAAAAAAAAGGCAATGACTGCTACGCTGATTGATTGATCCTTACGAGTGCACCACGAATCTAACACCAATGGTGAAATTAATTATTGATCACCCATCCGACAACAGACCATTGTGTTCATTGCTTAACTTCCGTAATCGCAGAAGAAACGCGTTAACCACTTCGCCGACGAGCTCTTCGTGATTTTATTTATAAGCTTTAAATAAATACACTTAGACAGGACCAGCAATGCCAGGTGCCCCGATTTTAAGCCTAAAATTAAATCCCGCACGGGACAGGCACCGTCCCCCTTTTTGGGGATTACTCTACGGCGCGGCGCTATGATTACGAAAGTTATTACAGTAAATACACACCGTACTTTCATTAAAAATATTTCCTTTGTATAATTTTACAATGGATGTACTACATATATAATCACGCACACATCAATAAACTTTCATCACGAAAGTCAACATCTTCAAAATTTGATCACACATGCATAACACCGTGTATCTATCGGTGTTACGCATGTGCGTGTATAGGTCGTAACAGACGGTTTAGATGTTATATATGAATTAAGATAAAAAAAAAACCCTTAACTATATCTCCACCTCAATTGTGCACTCATTTCCTTTTATCTCCACGTCACCCATCCGGTTGACTGGTAAAAAATACTTACGATATTAAGTCTGCCTATGTACCCTGTACACGAAATGGTAACATAAATAAATACAATTGCGAAACAATACGGAAGCGATACGGAAATAATATATAGATATATTCCATAGGTTATCTTTAAATACAAAATATATATATTTTAGGTACAGAAAGATGCAACATGTTAAGATGAAATATTATAGCGCCTTAACCGTCTGTTACAAGCTTAAAGTTTGAACGCGGACCTTAATTGTCGCTCGTACTTTGGTTTTACTATGCTTATATGATGTGACACTCGACGAAAATTCCGCAATAATTCATACTTCTGTGAGACGCATGACAGAATTTCCGTCAGATTTTCATTGAGAATAATATTTCAATGTACCTGGGCAATCTTGACATTGTATTGTGAAAACATCGCATCGTACATGGACATAAGTTCGGATTGTCCGACTGCTGCTGCCGCGCGGGGGTCTAAAATGCTGCCAGCATCCTGTACAAAATGAATAAAATACAATACACTTATAATGGTAACAAATAAAAACAATTAAATTGACAATTAAAGTGTCTTACAAAGATGAAAAATAATTCAAGAAACTTCTAATGAAGTCGGGTGGGTGTTTTGTGTAGGTTATTTATTAATATTAACCCCTATAATATTAACATATGTAGAATTACACAAATTATCTAATTTAGAACACTAATTAGAGCTTAAAGTCGTCATTAAACATTAATGAAAGTTTGTGCAACTATGTCTAATTTTCGAGCTTAACATGAACATACTTAATTTAAATGGTTATTAGTGACAGATTTACTATGTTTTTATATTAACATTGACGTTTTATATAGTTATAAAGCCTTATATGGTTATTATTTTTAATTTGTTTTTACTATAAATTTTGTTATTATTATTGCTGTCTTATCTGTCTTGAGTATTTTGTAAATTAAAGTGATTTTATATATTTTTTTCAAGCGTATTTATATTCAATTTAATATAATTACAGACCATGCATAAGTTGTCAATAATTATGGTGTTTTGATTTACCTCTCTTGTATGGTCACTTGGAGATAAAGTTTCCCGCATAGAAAGAGACATCAGTAACTCTTGGGTAAGCTTCTGCCTCCCAAATGCCACCGCCCCACTCGTCACCATAATACACTCCCGGCCTTCATGGTGGCATTCCGCTACCTGACAAAAAAAAAACATTTTCTGATATTAGATACTCTTTTATATTCTGTTTTAACATAAAACTCTTTTGTCTGGCTCGTGCCAAAACAATTAAACAAACAAAGTGGAAAAAATCTGTATATAGTAAAATACAAAGATGCATCGGCTTGTTTGTGCTCTTAGATCATTAATACACAACGGATTTCAATGTAGTGCCGGGTTCGGTGCTTAGGTAAATGAAAAGCTGACTAAGCTTGATAACTTAATATATTTTATAGCAAAAATAAATAAAAATCCTTCCTCGGGTTGTATATACAAATAGAACTTTAGTAATACTAGTACGTTACATTTTTCTTTATTGATTCATAATACGTGAAAATAACATAACTACTAATAATTGTATTTTGATAAATTCTTACACTTTTTGTATCAGAAACTGATGCTATGTTTTCATTGGATCAATTTTCACGAACTGACATTCAGAAAGAGCATGTCGCGTTACTCAATCTTTAAATTTCGAAAAGTTTATAACAAAAAGAAATTACGTTAAAGATCAAAGACATAAAGTTTGCATCGGAACGTAGAACGACGCACCGTTATAATGTATTAAAGAAAAAAGTTTATATGTAGGTAAATATAATACAAGACTTTGCGGGCGAAGTCGCTATCGGAAATAATATGTCGCAGCCAAGTAGTATAATCAGCCGACCAATTGGGCGACTAGCCCTTTAATTGAATGGCACCATTCAATGTAATTGAAGGGCTAGCCGCCAAAAGTATAATTTTTTAAGCTGTTCTCTTATGACTGTGACTGCGTAAATTATAGCCTTATGTAACCCGCATACGATCTAGTTTCCGTAGGTGAAATAATTTTTAAAAACGGTTCAGCAATTTCGGAGCTTCTTATATTCAAACAAACAACAAATGTTTTCTCCTTATTATATAAGTACAAAGTATCGGTAGACTCGTAGAAAAAATATGAAGAATAATTCACTATAAGCAACACGAAAAATACGTGAACAAAACTAAATAAACAAAAAAAAAATTTCAAGCAAATATTGATTCAGAAGAGAAGAGACATTTTATATTATTCTGTTCGCAAGCTGTTTCAATTTGTATCTGTATTTTTAGTATATACCGAACTTAATCATGCTCTATCCTATTCTACTATATAAAGCCAAACTAGAATTCGAATTCACTCAAGTGTAGGAATTCACTACAAAAAGCGGCATCCGCTCAAATTCGAATTGGTAATAACGTTTCGTGGCATAAGTGAAGTGAGTTTCGAAATAACATAGGAATAGAATATCTGAGACACATATAATCAATAATTTTGGTTTTAATACAAAATAATGGAACCGATAGAATTTCTTCACAAAACGACACATGAGTGAATTCGAATACAGGTTCGGATTTTTACAGAATCGCTCTGTAGGACAAATACGAAATAGTTTATGATGTATAGAATGTCAATTTTAAGAGGGCAAGTCTTGTAAATTGACATTCTATACATATAGGATGAAAGTTTACATGGAATGGAATTGCGGATTCCATTCTATTCCATGTAAATAAATAAATAAATATTTAACAACATCACATACATTGCTCAGATTCCAAGATGAGTAGCTAAAGCCCCCGTATTATGGAGTATCTGAGACAACGAAGGTACCACAACACCCAGACCCGAGTCAATATAGAAAAGTTCATTTTCTACATTGACCCGACCGGGAATCGAACCCGGGACCTCAGAGATGGCGACACCTTGAAACTGGCGTGCGAACCACTCGGCTACGGAGGTCGTCTAAAAGTCGTCTTCTATGTAAAGTTTCATCCTACATGTTTAGAATGTCAATTTGGAATGAAATTGCGGATTCCATTCCATTCCATTTCATTCCATGTAAAGTTAAAGTTATAAAAGAGTTTTATAACCACGAAATCGGAGTAAGCGTTAACAAAATATCCTAAATATACAAACCTAAAATTTCTAAAACGAGAAAAGTTCAACAAAACGTAATTATATGAGTCCTTGAAACAACATTGATAGGATAGGATCACAATATTGATAGACCCGATGCTCCGCAGTTAGATAATATGATTATAGCATGATCTTATATCAGATTTCTTAATCCTTTGTGAGAGATTTATTGCCCAAATGAATGTTTAAAATTCAATCCAACTTTGAATCGAATTTTATCCAATTCGCAAAATTATTATTGCGTAGAAATTAGAACTGTGCTTTCTCCCAAATGTCAAAGTTTCACATTGATTAATAATATTTGTAAATTGTTTCCTTTCTGGTTGTTTACCGTCCAAGGAATGAATGTTTGCATTGAATATTGTTATTTTTGGATCGTACAACTTCTATATTTATTATGAATACATATAATGTATATAGATAGACAAATACACTACATATCAGCGCCAAAATTCTATTTGCTAATGATTAAAGCTTATTTTTATTGATAGTTAAAATATCCTATGTAAATTATATGCTGTATCTAAGTCTCGATAAAGTATTATTATACGTTTATGAATGAATGAATGAATGAAATACTCTTTATTGTACACACCATAAGTGAATGAACAAATATATAATAATCTAACAAAATAGTACAATTGGCGGCCTTATTGCTAAAAAGCAATTTCTTCCAGGCAACCTTAACATAGCATACAGGATACAGTTGGAAAAATTGGGTAGTCTATGGTGCATTAAGATGTAGGGTTGAAAATGATTGTTCAACTTACGTGATAAAATATAATGTTTATTAACAACGTCCACATAGACGCCAGCCGTTGTCCTTCTTTGGCGCCAAATGAAGTGGCGAAGCCCACCGACTTCGGACAAGTATGGCAAGTTGAAAACCGAGCTCATCAAGCGATTAACGGCATCCAAAGAGAAGAAGCTCAAACAACTTTTGATGCATGAGGAGCTAGGAGACAGAAAGCCCTCGCAGTTTCTCCGTCATCTGAAAAGTCTCGCAGGTGTGAATGTACCCGATGATTTTTTGAAGACAATCTGGATTAGTCGTCTTTCGCATGGGATCCAGACAGTGGTAGCAGGTCAGTCACCCTCTTCTTCCACCGATGATCTGGCAGACTTAGCGGATCGTATACACGAGCTGGCTACACCATCTCCATCAGTGGCATCAACGAGTCAAGCCAACTGCAATTCATCCATCGACGCTCTAAGTAAAGAGGTCGCTGAACTTCGGAAGCAGTTCCAGAAGCTTAAGACGAAGAGGAATAGCAGACCTCATTCACGTTCTACGGGAATATCCCGCGGCCGATCAACATCCAGGTCAAAACGCTCGCAATCTAACTACAGGAAATTTCCATGCTGTTGGTATCATCACAAATTTGGCGAGAAGGCCAACAGATGCATCACCCCTTGTGACTTCAAGGCGGGAAACGCTCCGGGCGGTCGATAATGGCGACTGCTGACTGCCCTACTTCAACTACTGGTCGCCTGTTTGTTACGGACCGTGCTTCGAAGGTGCAGTTCCTGGTCGACACTGGAAGCGACCTCTGCGTCTTTCCCCGGTCCCTTCTTCGTGATCGACGAACCCGGACAGACTATAATTTGTGTGCTGCAAACGGATCCAGTATATCTACCTATGGTTACGTACATCTTAATTTAGATTTTGGCTTACGGCGTTTGTTCAATTGGCGTTTTGTTGTAGCCGATGTAACTAAACCAATTATAGGCGTTGATTTTTTAAATCATTATTACCTAATTGTTGATTGCCGTAACAAACGATTGTTAGATAGTACTACTTCTTTGTCAACTGTAGCCAAACTTGTTAATTGTAATAACATAGCGTCTGTAAAAGTTTTAACTGGTAATACTCGGTATCATAAAATCCTTGAAGAATTTCCCGAGATCACCCGACCAACCGGTACGCACCGCATAGTCACACACAACACTGTCCATCATATACACACAACTCCAGGCCCTCCAGTTTCTTGCACACCACGTAGACTAGCTCCAGACAAATTAAAGATTGCTCAACAGGAATTCCAGTCTATGCTCGCCAATGGAACAGCCAGACCTTCACAAAGTCCCTGGGCATCGCCACTTCATTTGGCGCCAAAGAAGGACAACGGCTGGCGTCCCTGCGGCGATTACCGTATGCTTAACTCTCGTACTATACCAGACAGATATCCGATTAAGCACATTCATGACTTCGCGCATAATCTTGTTGGCTGTACAGTCTTCAGCACCCTCGATTTATTAAAGGCATATAATCAGATACCTGTCAACCCTGCTGACATTCCGAAAACCGCGATCACAACACCATTTGGGTTATTCGAATTTCCTTTCATGACCTTCGGACTTCGGAATGCCGGCCAAACCTTTCAGAGATTTATGGACGAAATAACCAGAGGCTTAGATTTCGTGTACTGTTACCTCGATGACATTTTGGTCTTTTCAAGAGACGAATTACAGCACGAGAAACATCTTCGCCAAATTTTCACTAAGCTTAAAGATTACGGCATGTTATTAAATACGGCTAAGTGTGTCTTCGGTGTCCAAAAAGTAACTTTTTTAGGATATTCTATTTCCAAAAACGGCTCCAGACCACTGGACAGTAAAGTGCAGGTGATTAAGGATTTCCCCACTCCGACGAACGTGCGTCAACTGAAGGCATTCTTGGGCATGCTTAACTTTTATAGGAGATTTCTTCCTAGAGCTGCCGAAATCCAAGCACCATTGCATGCATTATTGATAGGTTCTGTCAAAGGATCGCAACCAATCACCTTGGCAGATGATGCTCTTACAGCCTTTAACGCATGCAAGGATAGTCTCGCAAATGCTGCTTTATTAGCGCATCCTGATTGTGCCGCCAAACTTGCCTTGGTGACAGATGCCTCCGACAAAGCAATCGGCGCAGTCCTCCAACAGCATAAAGACGGTGCGTGGCAACCTTTAGCCTTCTTCTCACGCAAGTTGAGTCCATCTCAGGTAAAATACTCACCTTATGACCGCGAATTACTTGCAATCTATGAAGGCATTAAATATT